ACCAGATAATTTAAGGTCCACGTGTCTAAGAGAGTGAATAAGAGACCTGCGGTATGTAGTTAGAGGAGTCATGTATGTTTCAGGGGAGAGAGATAGTGAGGAGAGTAAGATACCTGTGGCAAGTAGTTAGAGTCCCGCGTGCCACGAGGGGGAGAAAAGAAAAGGAGAGAGTGAGTAAGAGACCTGCAGTATGTAGTTAGAGGAGTTCCATACGCTTCATGGAATAAGAAAAAATTAGAGAATAAAGTAGGAAACCTGAGGCATATAGTTAGAGTCCAGCATGTTTCGGGGGAGAAGAGAAGAGGAAGAGAGTGAAGTGAGTAAGAGACCTGCGGCATGTAGTTGGAGGAGTCAGCGCGCGTGCCCTTGGGGTAGATGCGGGACATCTGCCGCTTGTTGTAGTTCACGAAGTCGATGGCCTGCGACTTCAGGTAGTTCATGCCGGTGGTCTCCGCGAACGATGACATGTTGTGGTAGATATTCTTCTCTGTAACATATAAGAATATTACATCTATCTTACCAATATTATAAATGCGAAAGTTTAGATGGATGTTTGTTAGTTTGTAGCCTTAACGACTGAACAGATTTCGATGAAATTTGGCATAAATGTAGAGGATAGTCTGGAAGAACACATAGGCTAATCACTGTTTTTTTGTCAATTCCACGCGGACGGAGTCACGGGTGAAAGCTTGTACTAATATAATAAAGCGTAAACACTATTTATGGTTGGTTTCCCAGCCATATTTAACCATTTTTTAGTGTTTTTGGTTTGGTAATTTCATGAAATTCGTTTGTGAACTACGTAACTTGTAACTCCGTTGAAATTTAACTCAATCTAACATTAATGAGTTTCTAGGTTATAAGTAAATGGGATCTTTAACCAAACATTAGTTATGTATGATGTCAGCAATTACGGTACATTTTTTAACAATTATTTATTTAATAAAAAGCCTTACGACACGCTAAATATTTTCACGCTATCAAACTTAGAGAGTGAATAACTTGGAAAAAGCCTTCATGTGGGAAAGGGACAAAAAATACTAGCTAATATAAAAAGCAAGGTTGTCATGGTAACGGTAATTGTTATCCAATGTCAAAGACCTTTGTTAAATATCACTTTAAACAATGAAATGGTGTTTTTATAATTTTAAGCGGATGAAGTTGAGTACTGACTCTCAGCCTCCTCGAAGCCCTGGAACTTGATGGGCTGTGCGTAGTTGACCATGGAGGAGAGCCAGGGGTGCACGTTGGTGGTGGAGCCGGTGTAGGCTACAGGCGGGGGTGCTTCATCCCCCCCAGCGGCCGCCTCCGCCACCACCTCCTCCGGCTGCAGACAGAGAAGAAAAACAGTTTAACAAACTTGATTAATTTATCTCAGAGATTTAAAATTGATGATGGATGGATTGTGTGACAAAGGATATGCTTAAGGGAGTGGATACAGATATGACGGCAGATAGAGATGTATGGAGCACATACTGTGCCGACCCTCCGTAAGGGATAAGGGCAAGGGGATGATGATAAGAGATTCAAAACAGTAGTTGACACTTCACTTGACACATGTTTTACTAACACTATTTATTAATAGCCTCAAAACCACATGTCAATATAATTAACTAGCTTTCTCCCGTGACTTCGACCTTAAGGAATTAAAAAAATATAATAGCCCATGTGTTGTTCCAGACTTTACATCTACCAAATTAAAATCTGTTCAGTTGGTTAGGCTACAAATTAACATCCATACATCTAAACTATCGCATTTATATTAGTAAGATCGTGTTTCAATGATTTGCCTATAGATGTCACTGAATATTTAAATGTTTATATTTAACAAAAGATGGAGCTTATTTTTTGTAAAATATTTTACATGTCAATACAAGGAATACTAAACTTGACAAAATAGTACCTTTCAAAAAAGTTACCGGTGAAAAAATGTTTACTGACTATTGTATTCTATTATAATAAAGCGTAAACAAACACATTTTTGTTGCCTAAGATGTCAGCAATCACAGCATATTTTTGAATAGTTCTTTTTTTTGATAAAAAGCCCTACACTTACGTCATGCTTTAGGCTATATATTTACACTATATTAAACTTAGGGGGTAAATATTTCGGACAAAAACCCTAATGTGGGAAAGAGACCATAAGTTGCTGCCAACATCAAGACAGAAAGATTTCTAAAGTTTGTCATGTCATGTCATTTTGACATTTGCTATTGACAAATGTAAACAATAAAATGAAATTTTCATAATTTCACGGGAACAGCTAGTCTTTTATAAATATCTGATGTCAGTATACCTTCTTCTCCGGCACCACTACAGCAGACGCATCTTCTTTCACCTCGTCTTCTATAACGAACTGTCCCTGTCTGAAGAGTTCAAGCTCCTGCTTCTCCACTTCCGGCTTCAGCCGTTTGTTCTTGATCATGATCTTCCTCTTGAGCATTGAAGGTGGCGGCAACGGCTGGCCAGGCTCCAACTGGAAGATTTTGGCCTTTTTATTTTAATAGAGGGATTTTAAGTTAATTTAATTTGCTATTTATAACTTATTGAAGGAGTAGGGATATAACAATACTTATGTGATACTAGTTTTCGCCCGCGAGTCCGTTCGCGTGGTATTAAAAAACAAAAGTAAGTAGCTTGTGTGTTTTTCCAGACTGTGCTCTACATCAATCTCTACTTTTATAATAAAGCGTAAATACACACTTCTTTGTTGTCTAAAATGTCAGAAATTACAGCACGTTTTTGAATAATTCTTTTTTTAGTAAAAAGCTCTAGCCTTACGTCACGCTTTAGGCTATATATTTTCACGCCATTAAACTTAGGGGTAAAAAGTTTTGGAAAGAAATCATAATGTGGGAAAGAGACCATAAGTTGTTGCCAACATCAAGGAAACAAGGTTGCCATGGTTTGACATTATGTCATGTCATTTTGACATTTTCAATTTTGACAAATGTGAACAATAAAATGGTTTTTTTATAATTTTATGCGCATGAAGTCGCATAGGAACAGCTAGTTTGAATGTAAGTCGTATGTTATAGACATAAAGAAGTAATTCGTGTCTCACCGGGTGTTCAGGCAGAGGCTCCTTCAGCAGCAGGTCTCCTAGGATCTCGTCGCAGTACTTGGCGAGTTTGTACTGCTGCGCCTTGCAGCAGTGGTTCTCGAAGGAGAGGATGACGGGGCAGTCTGACGTCACGAAGGCGGTGTCGCGCAGCGCGTAGATGACGTCACGGAATAAGATATCGGTACACATCGCCATGCCGTGGGTTATGATTGGCTCCTCGTCTTCGCCTTTACCATCCCAGCAATCCAGTTCCACGCAACTGGAGACAATTACAGAGTCAGTCTCTCATATTTGTTAAAAATCTTAAAGAGGAATATTTTGTATTTTTGTATTGTAATAACTTAAAAACTAATGGGACGATTTCAAAAATTCTTTCACCATTAAAAAGATAAATTATCAGAGAGTAACATAGGCTACATTTTTCAATTTCATGCAAACCAAATCGCGAGCACATGCAAGTTAGTTATAATAATGTCTCACGGAAGTTTATACAATTTATGTTTATTTTATCACTAGCTGTTGCTCGCGACTTCGTCTGCGTAAAATTAAAAAAAAAATAAAAAATAAAATCAATATAGCCATCTCACTCACTGATAACGTAGCTCTTTAATAATGAAATATTTTTGGAAATCGGTCCAATAGTTTTTGAGTTATTTAAATACATACAAAAATACAAATATTTCATCTTTATAATACTAGTAGAGAATACCTGGAGAATCATTAATGTTAGGTTGAACTAAGTTACAATAGAGTAAAACTCGAGTTCGGAAACGCATTTCATGAATTTATCAAACGAAAAACAAACTGGGAAACCGGCCATTAGTCCTATAGTTTTTCAAGAACAGAAGGTAGCATTACCGGCATCCTGCTAGAAGGACCTGTCGGTACATCTCGACGGAGCTCTTGCCGCCGAACTGGCGGCCGGAGAGGTAGGTGTTGTGCGAGGAGTTGATGTAGTAGTGCGCCAGCGGCTGGTCCATGTCCATGTACGTGTCCAGGCGGTCCAGGAACACTGGCGCGTTCTCGTCGGACATCAGGTAGCGGATCAGGCCGTCCTTCGTCAGACATTCTGACACGATAATACTATGTAAATATTTGCCTTCTATCTTAATCTAAGACTTAGGGCCTACCACTGGCTGATACAGGCTCAGATAGGTTAAAAATGACGCCACTGTCAGAGAACAAAATCTGAGATTTCCATCACATGTGTTACACGTTGGATTGTTATAAGACAATTTATAATTTGATGGAACAGGCCCTTAGACTCCTATGTGTTATTCCAGACTATTCTCTAGATTTGTGCCTTCTATCCATTTATCTAAACTTTGGAATTTATAACATTAGTAATTAATAAAGTAATAGTAATTAGTAAGGTAGAATAAATAATAATTTAACTTTTCTTTGTTAAAAATGTGAATGATTGCATGAATGTATGTTAGTTTATAGCCTAAACTGCTGAAAGGATTTGGATGAAATTTATCATAGATGTAGTATGTTAGGAACACATAGGCTACTTGCTTTTGTTTTATTTTTATTTCTACATAGAAAGAAACGCGGATAAAAGTAGTAAGTTATATACTGATATAAGTCAAAGAAAATGATTAATGGCAACCCAAGATATAGACATAAAGACCATAATCAAAGACTATAAAAAGTTAATTTAGGTCTAAGTGTGTATACTTACTAGCATTCTTTGCCTCCTCGTTCTGCTCGTAATCAGTGATGATTTCCAACGCACGTTTGTCGTCATACAGCGGGTACAGGATCTCGTTAAGTCGCGGGTCGCGTTGTTTCTCGTTCAAGAAATTCACGAACTGGTCCAAATTGATGGTATCCGATTTACCTTGAGTACTGTGAATTTTCATTACAATTTAATAATAAGCTCGTTTAAAGATAAAATTAAATTAATTAAAACTTAAGCCCTACACACGGTTACTTCAAATTGTTAGTTTTAACTGAACAGTCGTGTACTCTTTGACTGTACAGTTCAACTGATACTTAAAATGTCTTATACTTGCACAGTTTTTACTGAACAGTTCGTCAGAATTGGGCGTATGTGTAGGTACTATATCATGGACCAATAT